GCACTGGCCAAGTTGTTACTGGAAGGATGAATCATTCTACACTTGAATTCCAACTAGAGACCCCAGCAGCTCAGCTGGACTGCCTGACCCCATCACTGAGTTCAGCTCCTGAAGTACATACTCAGCAATGATAGTCTAGCTTTCCTTGTTTTGTATTCTTCCAGTTCCTCCTGTTAATTAACTAATGTTCTATCTTGCCCTGAAAACACAGAGCTTCAGCACTTTATTTAAAAAAAAAAAAAAAAAAACTCCTTTTAGTCACCTCCAACCCCCATTCACCCATCAAGCAAGTAAGTGGACAGCTCCCTATATATGTCTCAAAAGAAAGAGGGGGAAAAGTACTGGATGCCCACTTGCCATGTAGAAGGCATTCTCAAGCTGGAAGTGAAATTAGTTTCTGATCCCCACAAAGTTTCTGTCTCCATACCACACCTCCTAAAGCCCTAATCAACTGTTAGCCCCTAACAACCTCACTCAGTCTAACTCACACATCTTGAGTCTTACTAGCAGCTGGAATCAGACCAGTTGTGTGGGCTCAAAATTGTTAGTACATGCCAACCCAAAGTTCTTCTTATTCTCTCTGCTTAACAGTGTTCTATTTGACATTCTGCTTATTTGACAGGTATTTGCTGAGCAGCTGGTATGTAGTAAGCCCTGTGGTAGGTCCAGAAAATAAAGGCTTTGTGAAAGACAAACAAGGAATGCTGATAAAGTAAAACTAAGGTTTAATGAGGAGCCCTGGTGAAGCAGTGGTTAAGTGATCGGCTGCTAATTGAAAGATTAGTGGTTCAAACCCACCAGCCACTCCATGGGAGAAAGATGTAGCAGTCTGCTTCCATAAAGATTACAGTCTTGGGGCAGTTCTACTCTGCCCTATAGGGTCATTATGAGTCAGAATTAACTTGATGGCAACAGGTTTGGTTTAGGTTTATGATTTAATGAACCAAACCCAAACGAAATCAAACTCACTGCTATTGAGTCAGATCCAACTCATAGCGACCCCTGCTTGGGTTTCCAAGGCGGTATCACTACGGAAGTAGATCGTCCAACCTTCATTCCAAGGAGTGGCTGGTGGGTTTGAACTGCCAGTTTTCTCGTTAGCAGTCAAATGCCTTGTTACAATGCCATCACACCACCAGAGCCCCCAGATTTAATGTGTTGTTGTTGTTGTTGTGTGCCATCGAGTCGGCCCCGACTCATAGCGACCCCTCCTTGGGTTTCCGAGGCAGTATCACTACGGAAGTAGATTGCTCCATCTTCCTTCCGAGGAGTGGCTGGTGGGTTTGAACCGCCAGCCTTCTGGTTAGCAGTCAAGTGCCTTAGCCACTATGCTACCAGAGCTCCTAGATTTAATGTTGTTATGTGCCGTCGAGTCGGCCCCGACTCATAGCGACCCCTCCTTGGGTTTCCGAGGCAGTATCACTACAGAAGTAGGATTGCCCAACCTTCCTTCCGAGGAGTGGCTGGTGGGTTTGAACCGCCAGCCTTCTGGTTAGCAGTCAAGTGCCTTAGCCACTATGCTACCAGAGCTCCTAGATTTAATGTAGGAGGTGTCAAATGCTCTAGAAACTATAATAAAGCAAGGGGACCTGAACACAACTTTATCCTGAAGAAGTGGCATTTACGTTGAGAAATGAAAAATGAGTAGGTGAGGGAGAGAATACATAGTGCTCCAGGCCCAAGGAATAGCACAGGCAAAACCTGAAGGTGAGGGAATATGGCATGTTGGAAAAACAGGAAAAAGTCCAGCACAGCTTGGGGGAGAGAAAACAAGAGGGAGTGTGGCCAAAGGTGAGGAAGGGGCTGGGTTTTGAGGGCACCATCTGAAGTACTAAGGAATTTGGACTTTATTTTGAGGGTAAGAGGAAGCAGCTTGGTAGATAACAACATCTTTCAAAACATAGTGTCCCTGAGAATAAATCAACCCAAAGTGCAGGAAAGGTGGATGGTGAGAAGACCGGGGAGTTTTCCAGGTGATTCTGGGATCTTCTGGTTTTGACTCTCTCTTCTTGTTCTTTGTGCCAGTGCACACACCTCCTTTGACAGTGAACTGTAGCACCCTCGATGCCAGGTCATGCTTCCCCAGTACCCCTAGCCCACTGTCTGTGTAATCAGAAACTCCTGAGTTTTCTGCACTATAGTCCTTCCTTAGACCCTTGGAACCGTAGAGCCACAGAGACCACCACTGAGAGACTGACAAAGACCTTTATTTTATAGATGGACCAACTGAGACTCAGAGGAAGAACTTGTCTATGTTTCCACCGCAAGTCACTGACAGAGTTAGGAGAAGCACATAAGGCCTTTGAGTCCTTGTCTCTCCAAAGAATCTAGACACCAGGACTGAGACTCAAAAAAAGCAAACCAAACTCACTGCCATTGATTTTATTCCAACTCATAACAACCCCTTTTGGGTTTCCAAGGTGGTAAATCTTAATGTACGTAGATTGCCCAGCCTTCCTTCCATGGAGTAGCTGATGGATTTGAACCACCGACCTTCTGGTTAGCAGTCAAATGCCTTAGGCACTAGGCCACCAGAGCTCCTTAGGATTGGGACTACAGTAAGGCAAGTGAGGAACATAGGGTACAAAATACAAGGAGGCACCTCTGTCAGGTGCCAGCCCTGTACTTGCATGACTCCAGGTGCTGGACACACCTTGAGAATAGGGACTATATCTTCTAGGTAGCTTTTTGACATCCCTCATGGAGTTAACATGATGTTAGGCATATATTTTCAAGGTTGCTAGATACCTTTTATGTAAATGAACAATGGGTTTCTGACAAACTGATGCTTACACAGATGTTTGTATCTTTGGGTAAATATGACCTTCAGAAGACAATAGAACAAAGTGGAAAGGTCCTTAGACTAGAGTCTAGAAACCTGGATTCTAGTCCCCGCTTCTGTCACTGATTTACTATTATTCCCCATCTTTATTTAGGCTTCAGTGGCATGAGGTGATTGATTGGACTAGATACTTTTTACTGAGTACATACTCTGTGCCAGCCACTGCTCAAGGCTTCTGTATTTTAACTCATTTAAAGACTCCCTGGCCTCCAAGATTTCTTTCACTTCTAAGAGGCTGTGGAATGAGGTAGGGAAGATTTTGTGAAGAAATTAAGGTGGAGCTTCCAAACTCCCACAGGGAACTTAACATTCTAAACCATACTGTAAAGGCATGGTAACTCAAGGCACTTCTGGGTTGGAAAACTTTCTATAGGCCATCTAACTTGGGAACTTTCATCACCAAGACTATGCGCAGGCCAGCTGTTCAGAATCACCTTTGGACTCTCTCTAGAGGCAGATTCTTAGGCTCTGCCCCTAGAGGTTCAGTGATTCTGAAGTAGAGACCAGGAATTTGTATTAAAAGCTTCCAAGATGATTCTGGTAGTCAGACAGAGTTGGCAATCACCAATTTCAGTGCATTCCCCATCTGTGGGCAAGATCATACCCACATGTAGAGCAACCTGCCCTGATCCTAAGTATCTTCTGGCAGGGAAACGAATTCACTGATTGATTAATTCAGCAAATAGTAAGCACCTGTTATTAGGCCCTGTGTCAGGTGATAATCATGGTTCCTGCCCTCAAGGGATTCCAGATATAGGTATGTCACCTATTTTAAAAGCAAGTCAACCAGTCAGAGAGCTAGAAAGGTGTGGTAGTTAAAATTGTATGTCAACTTGGCTGGGCCTGGTTGAGTGGCTAGGCAGCAGGTGGTAATTATTCCCCATGATGAGACTGGCAATCAACTCCATGGTGGGATCTACCACAACCAGCTGAGTAGCTGCCTTTGGGATGTGGTCTGCTTCCTGTATATAAGGAGAAGCCTTGGGGATAGTCTCTAGCTTATGGCACACTTGAACCCTGTATGTAGCTGTGTCATTGTTCAGCAGCCTGCCATGTTCTGCCGACCTTGGGACTTTCAATGGACTTATATTAATGGCCTGCCGTGTGGTTTGGTAACATCGGGACTGTGCCTTTTTACTTGTCAACCTTGGGTTCGTCAGTCTCAGCAGCCAGCAGCTGTCTGAGTGAAGAAAACCTCTAGCTCCAGTGGGCCGGGAGCAGGAGACAGAGCTGAACCCCAAGGTAGAGGGGTTTTCACCCAGCCCCCAGAGCCTGGCACTTTGAACATGGACTTCTAGCCTCCCAAACTATAGGAGAATAAACTCCTGTTTGTTAAGGCCATCCCATTTGTGGTATATTCTTGTCAGAGAGGCACTAGGTAACCAGAACAAAGGGCCTTAGAGATCATCAACCAATCCCATTATCACACAGTTGGGGAAACTGAGGCCTAGATAAGGAAAGCAACGTATTCAAGACAACAGAAGGAGCAAGTGACTGATAAGATGGATTTTCTGTTTTCAGACCAGCTGAGGTGTCCCTGTGCCCTTCTCAAGAGGAGGCTGCACTCTAAATCCTAAAACGCCTACACTTTGCTTCTTAAGGAGGAAAATTACACATAGTAAAGTTCCTGAAAGTTTAACTTCAGATCTTGCTGGAATTTTAAAATCCTCATGTCCTTCAACAGGAACAGAGGCGGTAGGGATGAGGAAATGTCACGACGACAGAGTGTTTTAAAACCCCAGGAATAAGAAATGCTTCTGAGGATTGAGCCTTCCATCAAGTTCTTCTGAGCTGTTTAACTTCATGCCCTGGCCCCAACCCTCCCCCCGCCCCCGCACCCCTACTTCCTCGCCTTTAGATCCGAAAGAGAAAGGGGTGGCCTCACGTGTTCACAGGGACCTGACTCCCATCTCTCTGTCCAGACATGCTGATGTCACTGTCGCCCTGGGCCTGAGAAGGAGGAGAGTCAGAGGATGAATTGTGCCCGCCCCTGAAATCCCAGCAGCCCTGCGATTGGCTACAAGAACTCCAGCATGGCAGCGAATTGGTCATCACTGCGGGCTTGAAAGGTGGCTGAGAGCGCCAGAGACCTCAGACGGAAGGTGGCCTGGGATCAGACAGCGTCTCCGGCAAGCCTGAGGCGCACCCGCAACCAGCCATGGCCCGGCTGCTCCCTGCCTCCTGCCTTCTCTCCCTACTCCTGGCTGGCTTCGTCCCGCCGGGCCGGGGACAGGAGAATTCGAAGGTTAGTGAGTGTCTGGTGTGGGGGACTGGGAGAACGAACATAGCCCCTAGGCGTTCATCGCTCTCGATGGCGAGGCTCCTTTTCCCGGCTCCCCTCGAGAAGGAGGACACCCTGGACTCTCCTTATCTCTTCCAAGACTCCCCATACTCTGACTGTCGGTCTCTTTGCAGTTCCATCTTTTGGAGACTTGGGTGCTCTGAGTAGGTAGAATGGATAGGGGAGAAAGGGCTCTCCAATGCGTGCTTTGTCCACCATGGCTACCTGGAGGCACCTTGTTACATCCATGCCATATCTGTACTGGAGTTGTTCCCTTCCTGTGGGGCCTAAAGGGGGACTGAGGCACAGAAATGGGCATGCAGACTTGGGGTCTGGGTTGGTTGTGCAGGTTCCCAGGGAGACTGGCAGGCTAGAGAAAGGGAATGAGAATGCAGTTGGCTAGAATTGCCTTGAGGGGCTCTTCGAGTCCAAGAATAATTAACGCAGGTGCAAATGCCCCTTTGGATTCCAGGGCATTGGTAAAAGAGGCAATGAGCTGTGACAGAAAGAGCTCTGAGCTGGCAGTGCAGAACCCCCAGGACCTCGGCTAGATCCCTACCCTTTTCTGGGCCTTAATTTCTCCATCTGCAGGAGGCATGGGGGCACAGGGAAGCTGAAGGCTTCAGAGGGGATGTTTGGAGAAGCTGGAAAATCCACAAGCTATTTTCTGAAGAGTTGCCTGCTCTAGGCAGACTCACTACCCACCAGTCACCCCCTACTCACATTGGCTGGAGCAAACCTGGCAGTTGGGGATAGTTGGGGACTGCCAGCTTGGAAGGGAGGCAGAATTCTCCCAGGACTTAGTCCATCCCCAGCACAGTGTAACCCTTAGCTGGAGGGGGGATGCTGGTGAGAAGGGATGACCCAGCATGCTATCTCTTTGGACTGGATGTTCCATGGTGGGTCTGTCAACCTCTCCTCTTTCCCAGGGTGGGCAGGCAGAAGCAGGCAGAGGGATATATCCAGAAAGAGGGACTTCTGTCCCCAGCCTCCTAACCCTCCTAACACATACACATACGCCATAACTCATATGCCTAAGCTCCTTAAGCTTTGAGCGTCTGTGTTTCTGTAATCCTCTGGGTCCATGATTCTGTTACCAAAGTTCTAGCCATTGCTCAGGAAACCTATTCTCAGCATAGGGTTCTTTCTATCCATTTCTAACCGCTTTTCCATTCTCAGCCTAAATCCCATTCTGTCTGACCCTCTTAGAGTCAGTCTAGTGACTAGATGGCTGAGAAGCCACTTCCACGAAGCTTCCTCTGTTTTATCCAGCCCTGTTCATAATCCCCAACTCAGAAGGCAATTGGGTCACTTCCTCCCCAGGGCAGGGATGGGCTGAGTTTCAAGTTTGGGGTATAGGGTAGAAGTGGGGGTGGACCATGGGCAGGCTAGCATGATAGAGTCAGTACTATCTCCTCAGTTTGGGGAGAGCCAGAGAAGGGACTTGGGCCCTGCCTCAAGAAGGCTGGAGGTAGTAAGAATGTGGGTCCTGTGAACAACTCATAGCAGGACTCTGGGCAGAGGTAGTTGGATTTAGAAAAACAGGATGGGTATGGTCTGGAAAAGTTTTAGCAAAAGGGTGAGGTTTGATAATATCAGATACAACCAGCCAGGACTTGCTTAAGGACAACCTAGGCAAACCCATATCTCCTCCAAGGTCCTTAGAGAGCTGAGATGTCATATCCCTGGGTTCTAGGACCCAACCACTTTCTTACCCCCAGCCCCAGGGCAAAGGGATGAGGGGGCCAGCACGTAGAAAAGTCAGTCAATGGCAAAAAGTAATTCAGCCCTGGAGGGATGTCTGCCCCCTCCTGGTTCGAAGGGAGGGGCTAGAGAATAAGAATCCTCCTTTCATTGCTGTGTCCCCTCCCCAGTCCAGCTGAAAGCTGTTCAGGCCCCCTGTCTGTGTTCTACAAAAGGATGTTGCAGAAGCTAGAGGGAGTAACAACTGCTGACGTGCATGGGATCCTAGTAACCACTGGTTTCTAGGTGACTAAACCAGGCAGAGAGGATCATGGAACCACAGGCTGACAGAGCTGAAGGACCCTTATGACAGTATTGAATCTGTCTCCATATTATAACCGAGGAGATGAAGGCAAAGAGCTCAGAGAATAGAAAGAAGTGGTCACACAGAGTCAGTGGTATTGCCAGACCTGGAACTCAGGTGCCCACCTCCCATTCATCTCTTATTTCACAACATCACATCAGTGAGGTGGTAAAAGAGAGGAGAAAGATCTAAGACCAGCAACCCAGGCCACGGGGTCCTGTCTGAGTCCCACCCTCCAACTTTCAAGCCATCAAAACTCTTCCTTGTCTAACTGTGGGAGCTTTGAGATACCCTTGCTTCCTCTCCCCTCCATCTCTTCTGGTACTCCAGGAGCCCAGAGGAAGGAAGGGGACACACATAAGGACTGAACTCCAGTGCTTAGTGGTGAGTCTAGGCCATGACTTCCCCCCTTGGGCCATCCCCTGATTCCTGCTAATTCCAGCACTAGCCTCACTGGCCCCAATAGAAAGCATGAAAGCTTTATCACTCATTCCTCCTCTGGGAGACACCCTGCCCAATGCATCTTCTTCATCATCATACTGAGGGGGAACATCACAGTCCTCTTCACAAAGATGTAGGAACATCAGGGCCATGGACTCTAGCTACAGGAAGAATAAGCACCATTCTTTGCCTTGTGGAATTGTCTTTCAAAAAGGCTTTCAAGACTGTTTTGAACTGTCAGTAGAGTCTCACAACTCTTTGGGAGGCTGGTGATAGTGTCCTCACCTATCAGCAGATGGAAGCCTAGAGAGTGAAAGTGGTTTGCGCAGGGCCACACAGTCCCCAGGCAGCAGGAAGCAGCGGCAGGCAGGGCTGGGGGCCGGAACAGGTAGGGGGAAGCCCAGGAGTTGAGTGGAGCAGTTGGGACAGCTAACAGAGATGAATTTATCTGTCAGTTTGTGGTACTGTGGTGGCTTGCATGTTGCTATGAAACTGGAGGCTGTGCCAGTAGGGGTGCCCACTGTGAACTGGTTTTGGCAGAGCTTCCAGACTGAGACATACTCGGAAGAAGGAAGAGGCCATCCACTTCTCAAAGAATTGTCCAGGGAAAACCTTATGAATAGTAGTGAAACATTGTCTCATATATTACTGGAAATTTTTATGAATAGCCCTGAAACATTGTCCAGTACAGTGTCAAAAGATGAACCCCTCAGGTTGGAAGGCACTCAAAATACGACTGGGAAGGAGCTGCCTCATCAGAGTAGAGCCAACCTTAATGATATGGATAAAGTAGAGCTTTTGGGACCTCCATTTGCTGAAGTGGCACAAAACAATGAGAAGAAACAGCTGAAAACATTCGTTAATAATCAGGACATGGTATGTACAAAGTATGAATCTAGAAAAATTGGAAGTTGTCAAAAATGAAATGGAATGCATAAAGATTGATGTCCTAGGCATTAGTGAGCTGAAATGGATGAGTTTGGGCTATTTTGAATCAGATAAGCATATGATCTACTATGCCGGGAATGACAAATCGAAGAGGAATGGTGTGGCATTCATTGTCACAACGAATGTTTCAAGATCTATCCTGAAGTACTGTGCTGTCAGTGATAGAATAATATCCATATACACCTACAAGGAAAGCCAGTTAATAATACTATTATTCAAATTTATGCACCAATCACCAAGGCCAAAGATGAAGAAATTGAAGATTTTTACCAACCTCTGCAGTCTGAAATTTACCAAACATGAAATAAAGATGTGCTGATTATCTCTGGTGATTAGAATGCAAAAGTTGGAAACAAAGAAGAATCACCAGTAGTTAGAAAATTTGGCCTTGGTGATAGAAATAATGCTGGAGATCACATGATACAATTTTGCAATACCAATGACTTATTCATTGCAAATACCTTTTTTTCAACAACACAAATGATGGCTAAACATGTGGACTTCACCAGATGGAGTACACAGGAATCAGATTGACTACAACTGTGACAAGAGGCGATAGAGAAGCTCAATATCTTCAGCCAAAACCAGGCCAGGAGCTGATTGTGGAACAGACTATCAACTGCTCATATGCAAGTTCAAGTTGAAGTTGAAGACAATTAAAACAAGTTCACAAGAGCCACAATATGACCTTGATACTATCCCTCCTGAATTTAGAGACCATTTAAAGAATAGATTTGATGCATTGAACACCAATGACCAAAAACCAGAGAAATTGTGGGATGACATCAAGAACATCATCCATGAAGAAAGCAAAAGGTGATTAAAAAGACAGGAGAGGAAGAAAAGGCCAAAATGGATGTCAGAAGAGACTTTGAAACTTGCCCTTGAGCAAAGAGTAGCTAAAGCAAATGGAAGAAATGACAAGATAAAGAGCTAAACAGAAGATTTCAAAGAGCAGCTCAAGAAGACAAAGTTAATTATTATAATGAAATGGGAAAAGATATGGAGTTGGAGAGCCAAAAGGGAAGAACACACTTGGCATTTCTCAAGCTGAAGGAATTGAAGAAAAAATTTAAGCCTCGAATTGCAATACTGAAAGATTCTATGGGCAATATGGGAGCTCTGGTGGCGTAGTGCCTAAAACATTTGACTGTTAACCAGAAAGCTGGTGGTTCAAACCCACCAGCCACTCCTCAGAAGGAAGATTGGGTGATCTACTTCTGTAGTGATACTGCCTTGGAAACTCAAGGAGGGGTCACTATGAGTCAGATCCGACTCAATGGCAGTGAGGTTTTTTTTTTTTTTTGGTAATGGGCAAAATATTGAATGATGCAGGAAACATCAAAAGAAGATGGAAAGAATACACAGTGTCACTGTACCATAAAGAATTGGTCAATGTTCATCCATTTCAGGAGATGGCATATGATCAAGAACCAATGGTATTGATGGAAGAAGTCAAAGCCACACTGAAGGAATTGGTGAAAAACAAGGCTCCAGGAATTGACAGAATACCCATTGAGATGTTTCAACAAATGGATGTCCCACTGGAGGCACTCACTCGGTTATGCCAAGAAATTTGGAAGACAGCTACCTGGCCAACTGACTGGAAAAGATCCACATGTGTACCCATTCCAAAGAAAGATGATCCTAAAGAATGTGGAAATTATTGAACAATATCATCAATATCAGATGCAAGTATAATCTTACTGAAGATAATTCAAAAATGATTACAGAAGTATATTGACAGAGAACTTCCAGAAATGCAAGCTGGATTCAGAAGAGGATGTGGAACAAGGGTTATCATTGCTGATATCAGATGAATCTTAGCTCAAAGCAAAGAATACCAGAAAGATGTTTACTTGTGTTTTATTGACTATCCAAAAGCATTCAATTGTGTGGATCATTAACAAATTATAGATAACATTGAGAAGAATGGGAATTCCAGAACACTTAATTGTGCTCATGAGGAACCTGTACATAGACCAGGAGAACAAGGGAACACTTGTTTAAAATCAAGAAGGGAGTGCATCAGGGTTGTATCCTTTCACCATACTTATTCAATGTATATGCTGAACAGATAGTCAGAAAAGCTGGACTATATGAAGAACGTGGTTTCAGGATTGGATGAAGACTCAGTAACAACTTGCATTATGCAGACAACACAACTTTGCTCATTGAAAGTGAGGATGACTTGAAACACTTACTGATGAAGACTGAAGACTACAGTCTGCAGTATGGATTACACCTCAATATGAAGAAAACAAAAATCCTCACAATGGGACCAATAAGCAGCATCATGATAAGTGGAGAAAAGATTGAAGTTGTCAAAGACATCCTATTACTTGGTTCTATAATCAACATCAATGGAAGCAGCAGTCAAGATATAAGATGCTGCATAGCACTGTGCAAATCTGCACAAGTGCTGAAGAGCAAAGATATTTCCTTGAAGACTAAGGTGCACTTGACGCAGAACATGGTATTTTCAATCATCTCATATCCATATGAGAACTGGACAATGAAAAAGGGTCGATGCTTTTGAGTTGTGGTGTTGGCAAAAAAAATGCTGAAAGAAAAAAAATAAAAAAAAAATAAAGAAGTGCTGAAAGTACCATGGACTACTAAAAGAAGTAACGAATCTGTCCTGGAAGAAGTGCAGCTGGAATGCTCCTTGGATGCGAGAATGGCCGAACTTTGTCTCACCTACTTTGGTCAAGTTGTCAGAAGGGACCATTCTCTGGAGAATGATATCATGTCTGGTAAAGTGGAGGGACAACAAAAAAGGGGAAGGCCCTCAATGAGATGGATTGACACAGTGGCTGCAACGATGGGCTCAGGTATAGCAAGGATCATGAGATTGGCACAGGACCGGGCAGTGTTTCATTCTGCTGTACATGAGGTTGCTATGAGTCGGAGATGACTCATGGCACACAGCCAGCAAAGACAAGAACTTAAACCTCCTGGGAATGGGTTCTCCTTGTCCCATACTCACCCTGTGCCCAGAAGCTTGTCCTCCTGTGTTTACAAATTGTGATTATTTGGACATCCTCTTGGCTATTTTTCTCTCCATTTCCCAGAGATCATTTTTGGATCCAGGAGGAGTAAAGGAGGTGGAGAAGCAGTAGGGAGGCCCCATTCTGGCTGTAGGATCTCTGCAGCTGCTGAGATGTGTTTATTGTGCCCTGGTTTGTTTGCATTTTGAGGCAGAACTGACCCCAGCTGATCCTAAGAGTCCCCAAGGGCAGGGGGAGCATTGAGTTTAGGTCTGGGGCCTGATTCCACCATTCACTAAAAGTCATGTGGGTGTGGAAAACTAGACTCATGCACCAGAATTTGCACTAGAACCAACAAGAGAGCTTGCAGCTGTCAGAGTCTGGCCTCATGGAGGGAGCCCAGCCTAGCCATGCCTAGACCACTCACTTCTTTCAGTTAGGCTCAGGTACGTCTCCTCACCAGGAAGTCTTCCAGGATTGATTGATAGGAAGGGATGGAGAGATTTTTGCTTCTCTCACTGCAACCCTCTGCCCCTGTCCTCTCCTGGCCTATAATACTAATTTGGAATCTGTTTGCTGTCTGCCCATCTTTCGTAGAATGTCAAGTCCAGAAAAACATCGGAGGCCACCTAATACAATAGCTTTGAACATTTTCCTTTCCCATCACAACACACCTGCTGCCCTGACACACTTTCAGGAGTAAGACCCAGATCTTTGTTGTTTGTTGCAGGGATAAGACAGGCAATGGGCCATGTGCTAGCACCAATCCCATTCCTTCCTCTCCCTATCAAGAGTGACATTCTCAAGCCTTTGTGGTTGAGAATAACTGATCCAGTTCATGGTTCTCACTTATAAATAAGGAAACTGAGGCCTCAAGAAGAGAAAGGACTTGCCCAAGACCACACAAGGAGTTGCTGGCAGAGCTGGAATGGAACTCATGTCTTCCAACTCATGGTTGCCTCTCACTGTATCCCTTTGTTCTAGAAGTTGACTGTGGAGCAGCAGTTGGGCAGAGAGAAAGATATAATGGTCATCATAGCAACTGTTCATTTACACAGAGCATCTGGCATAGGGAGAAACAGTTATTTTACCTTTACAATCACATTTAATCCTCTGTGCAACTTCTCCCCATACCTGGCTCTCATCCTACTTCCCTAGTTTATAACAGCAGTCTCATCTTGCCAATCCTCCAGATTTTGTAGCCTCTCAATCACCACTTGCCATCCTGCTGCTTCCTCCTTTCTGTTCAGTTCTCTCTTTGCAATGCCCAGCTCAGGCCCTTATCATCATTTGCTTGGACTGTCGCCACCCAGTCTCCCTGCATCCAGCCCATCCAACAACCCAACCACCTGGTAAATGGTTGTAAGTTGACAATGTGATGTGGAAGTAATTATTACAATGAAAAAGGGCTGATGCTTTTGAGTTGTGGTGTTGGCAAAAAAATGCTGAATAAGTAATTCTACATATTACTCATCAAGCTATTGGGTCCTATCATAATCATTATCATATACAATTAGGGGACCTAGGTTCTAGTGCCGTTCCAGTGTTCAGTGTGGTCTTGGACAAGTCACTCTCCCTGTTGGAATCTTTTATTATGTTGAAAACGGCCAAGTTCCCTTCCAGCTCTAACCACACGCTGGCTCTGATCTTCTGTTCCAGACGGACTGTCACAGTGGCATGAGCGGCACCATCTATGACTATGGAGCCCTCACCATCAGTGGGGAGGAGTACATCCCCTTTAAACAGTATGCTGGCAAATACATCCTCTTTGTCAACGTGGCCAGCTACTGAGGGCTGACAGGCCAATACCTTGGTAAGAACCTGCCCTTCCTCTCGTGCTTCATTTGGGACAGTTTGCCAATTGGGCATATTATGACCATAGGAGCTTTTTAGCTGTCAAAGGGGAACAGGTGACAGTAATCATAAGTTTCCAAACCCTTTATTTCATAGTTTCGTGAAAATGTTTAAGCCTGAGATCTGATAGTCTTTTGATACAGTCTAGGAGATGCCCAGGTATCCTTGTTTCCTGGATACCTCAACTACCCTAAAAGAAGAGGGTAAAGGAGATGGGTTTGTGCCTAGAGTGTCCTTTGACTGGAGTAAAAACTAAAAAGAAAACCTCACTGCCATCAAATCAATTCCAACTCATAGTGACCCCTCCTTGGGTTTCCGAGGCAGTATCTCTACTGAAGTAGATTGCCCAGTCTTCCTTCCAAGTGGCTGGTGGGTTTGAACTGCCAGCCTTCTGGTTAGCAGTCAAGTACCTTAGGCACTACACCACCAGAGAAGTGGTAAATGAAGCTTCATCTTGCTGAGAATTTCTTACCTTCCCTCAGTCCATCTGCCACGAGGCTTCTCCT